CTTGTCTACATGTTAGGTTGCCTTAGCATAGTGATGTATTTAAACTACTGAACTTCTGTAGAAAAGCAACATAAATGTTGTACGTGCTCTCCAGGAATACATGCTGAATATTTTTTTTTGTCCTTTGTGATGATATTTTAATCATGACAGATCTTAAGGACTAACTTATCACATGCTGAACTGAACCTGTCGGCAAATTGCAAAGACTAAATATGACCTCTGGAGTAATTTCAAAGGAATACGGAACAGCCGGGGTCCATGGACGTGTACAACCAGAACTCGACTATCTGTATGTAGAACAATGAGTTAGAGATATATTCCATGTATCCTTGGCTTAATAATAAGGGATTTAAAAATACTCTTGAATAATAAAGAGGATCAAATGTATGCTTACACAATGGATGCATATATACTGGAGAGCACCCAAATGTGCTCTCCAGTAATCGCACTTCCAAACCCTATCAAGGTATATTCAATCCAAGCAATTGCCAAGGAAGATTGAGTGTTTCTCTGTGGCCTGTCAGATACAATTTTGCCAGCAGCAGTAGCCACAGTACTGTATATGGAGTGGGTGCCTGTACACGTCCCCTTATGGTGATGTAGTGACACACTATGACACCATATGGCATGCTACGGTGATGTAGCAATCATGTGGGTCCACACACAATTGTCAGCTACATTGCCATAGCAGCGTGCTCCCTGGCTACAGCATGCCACTATGGCAATGTAGCCGGTGAATCTAAGCATGTGCCAACTGTACGCTGCAGTATGAGTGGTTACTGAACCATGTTTTAGTACTTGCGCATAGCAAGTACTAAAACATGGCACAGTACCAATGTCGCCATATGGCAACAGCCCAGCATGTCCAAAAGTTATTAGAATGGTTGAACCAAACCATACCCAGTAGCCAGAATTAGATTGCTCGTATGGTTTCCCATTAGTTAGAAATGCTGAAGAACATTAATGGTCTCAAAAACTCACTGCAGCTTATGTTGCTGGACCTTTTCCTTTTTAGGGATTTACTTTAATGGGACTTCTCAAAGTACATAAAATTAATCTCATGTGTAAGTCTTTGCAGATCCCATGTTAAATGCACTACCAAATGAATCACCAGCACCCAGGGATTTTTTCCAAGGTTTCCTATTCAGTGTTTTGAAGGTCTAATTTTATTTTGTATCTTAAGTCTGAAACACTCAGTCTAAGGTGGCACAGTACATGGCAACAAACTGCACTTTTGATTTGGTAAATAAAGTGGTGTTCTGACATTTATAAGCATTTTATTTGTATTTTCAAATTTGGTATTAAATGTGAGTTACAAGTATCTGTTGTTATTGCAAAGAAGCTTAGAACAAGATGCTGGCTGTTCTCCACTAGGTGGCACTAGGTCTTTTTCTTTGCAAATTGAATTGTTTGTTGATTGGTCTCCTTTCCCTAAGAAACTTCTTTTGATAGTGTGGAAGCCATGGTAAATTTGAATATACCCTCCTAGATTTACTTATATAAGCATTTTTACGTAGTTTGCCTGACTATATAAAACATCCCTGATGATGATTGAATGATTATGTCTATTTTATGACACATTATTTTATGAGTCTACTTAGTGCAGAGTTTTACATAGTCAAAGAGCAGTACACACACTAATTTGTTAATTGGTAGAACAGCCCTGTGACAGTAGAGACCAATTCTGCAATTAACTTGTGTAGGAATCAAGGCAGGTGGACTCATGCATGTTTTTTATAGTGGAATATTTTTGGGGATTATCAGTTGTCGCAATTTTATTTTACATCTTGAGGTATTTTGTGTTTTCCTAAATCCCTGAGTTCTGCAGGGGGAGAGAATTCAGTTTTCCATTAAAAGGAAAGTAAGTGTATAGCCCAAAAGATTACAAAAACAAAAGCTGAAAAATATATAATCCAACTTCATCCAAAAGTTTCAACTACCAGAAAGTTTCAAACACCAAGCTTTGTTATATTTTAAAATTATGATTTTAATATCAATATCATGATTTGGAGAAGCTTAATTTAGGATTTTTACTCCCTCATGTTGACCATTTTTAAGAAGAAAGATTATGGCCAAAATTCTCATAGTTTCCATTTATTTTGGTCACTTTCTGTTTTGTACCACACTGAGTCACCTTAAGACCTGCAGTTCCCAACATTTTCAGCTGGGTGCTCAACCCCTCTAAATATCAGGCTATTTTCAAGTCAAACACCCAATGTAATGTACTCCCTTCAGGCTGTAAAATGACCATGCACTTAAGATAAATCAGTATAAAGAAGGCCCATCCCCTACAAGAACAACCTGCTAAGCAAACTGCACCTCATTAAAGTTCCTTACCTTACTTGGCAGAGACCTTCTGACTCTAATAGCAGCCTTGAAGTTGGCACTACCAAGTACTTCAGCTCTTATTCAGTTTAAGAAATGATTAGTTAAAGAGAGCACAATTAGTTTACAAAGTATACAGTAGAGCCAAAAGATGCTATGCACTAAAACCATTTATGCACATAACTGATGTTCGCTACAATATAAGCAACAAATAACAAGTTGCAACCTGTTGTGTTATGTATTGAAACCAATTATGCAACCATTGTACCAGACAATGCTGGTTTGTGCTGTTTGCACAATAGGAATACATACACTATGGAAAAATATTCATATCTAGTAATATGAAGAAGCAGAGGCACAACCTATCTCCCAAAGCAGCACCAAAAAAGCATAGGCAGAGAAGTGCAGCCAAACCATATCTGGCCAAAGGAAAAACCTATACACTGTAATACATAGTACAAAAGAGAAGCAGAATGAAACTCTGAAAATCAAACTCAGAATGTCAAGTGGACAGAGGTCAGGACATGGGATGGGTTGGAAGGGGATGGAGGGTGGTGGTGGGTGAGCACTTGCTCCCAACTTTGATTTCTGCTCCACCCAAAGATTAAAACCAGCTGCCTGGAAGTGGCAGCAGCATTTCTAGTTAGGCAGTGCTCGGGGAGTTGATTAATTTCATGGTTTCTTATAATCTACCTAATCCTTCTAAACTCATCATTCCACAGATGTTAAGGACCTTTTCTTTTCTATAATCTCTTGCTGTTCCACCAATCAAGCTATCCTTTGTTTTGCAGTTCTGCTGCCTGTTAGCTGCTCCTATTAGGGAAACTCCTATTTTACTGCCCTGCAGATTTTTGTAACTCATACCAATTAAGTTGTATTTGTTTTTGCTTCAATCTTAAATGGAATAATACAGCCCTGAGCCCCTAGCATATTAGTAAAGCTTTTAGTTTCTTTTTAACTCTAGGAAAATGTGTGTTGGTTTATGTGTGATGATGCATCCTCCTTTTCAAAATTATAGACCTGTCCATGGTCAGGACCAGGAAAGGCAAAGCCAGGATCTCCAGATCAGTAGCTTAGGGAATGAATAAATGAGGCCTTAGTCCTGTTCCCCTGTGGCACATGGGGAAATTGTGACTTAAGCGACATGGTCAAAAGTTACAGAGCAAATCAGCGGCAGAGAAGAGAGGTCAGAGTCCTAATTAGGTGAGGTTTCACATCGAGTTGTTTCTCCAGACAGACAAACAGACAGACGGACAAACTTTGAACTACAGTAAATCCTCCAAACAAGAACAGGATAACAGCTTGCTTGGAGGCCTGCAAGACTGAAGTGGAGCAATAGGCGAGTTCCTTGCACCCAGGGACTGCTTTGGTTCTGACTGATCTTGGCAGCAGACATTGAATCTCCTTGTGCCTAACGTGAAGTCTGATCAAGCCTGGTGCCCTGAGATCCCCAGCTTTGGGAAGGCTGACCCATTCCCTATGCCCCATGCTGCCTGCCAGTGCTGCAAAGCTTTGGAAACAAGGGGAAAACAGCTGGTATGATGCTTGATTATGCTTAAGGGGAAAGGCCTGGCCTGAGTACCCATGTGTATGCAGATGACTGATTCTGATGTGTTTAAATCTCTCCCTTTGCAGACAGGGCTACAAGCCCATGCTCACTGGTCATGCTTTGTAAGGCCTGACTCTCCTTTCCAGCTTGGCTGCACTGGCAGCTTTCCACAGCCAGGAGGCTTTTCCCATCTGGGTGATTTACACATTTTCCTGTGCTGGGTGTCGCTGTTTGGCTATTTTTGGCTCTTTCCCGATGTCCTCTGCTTTCTGCTTAAAGCCAAACATGCTCCAGGTTTCTCTTTAGGTGCACGGGGGAGGGGGAGAAGGGCTTCCCACATACAGACAAGAAATCCAGAGGGAAAGGGATGACACTTACTTTAGGCTGAGATAACTTAAATCAGATCCTGCCAGGATTAATCCAAGCTCCAACCACTACTTGGAATGGGGCAATTCCTGACTCATCCCCCATGGATAGAGCAGGATCTCACCTCTGATTCCCTGCTAAAACAATCCCAGTAATCACACTGAGGGATGAAATCCACACTGAAATCCTGCTGGAGCTGACCTAGCACCCCACACAGGGGCAGAGACACCCAAACTGGCCAGGCCTGCTGCAGGAGACTGTAGGGGGGCAGGATGCTTTGCCTTTCCACCCTCCCTGGAGGTTGAGTCCCTGGGCTTAAAACAAGGCTCAGGACTGTGAGAGGGGGCAGAGCCTGCAGCCCCTCCAGACTCAGCAGGCAGCACTGTAGCCTCCTGGTATGGCTCTGGGGAAAGGTTGTTGGTGGGACCCAGCAGATCCTGTGCCAAACTCATTGGAAGGGGGCGGGGGGGAGGGGCACAGCATATCGAGGGACATGGTTATGACGATTCATTTCTATGGACCTTCAGAGCCCACAACTACCCCCCCCCCAACCCACAAGCCACCTATCAGAGTCACTAATCTGGGTTGGAAGGAGTGTGTGTATTAAGGTAGAACAATTTTCCCAGTGGGGTAGGGGCTAGGAGGGGAGGGCTTTGGTAGAGGGCAATGGAAAGGGAGTAAGCATAGGCAAGGCTGATGGGGGCAATATGAGGAAGTTACTGAACATTATAGAGTCACTATGGCTATACAACAACGTTTCTCAACCTGTGGGTGGCAAGAAAATATGAAAGGGTCACAAACAAACTTTAAAAACGGATTTTCCTTTAAAAGAGAAAAAAAGTGGGAAACAGTGGCTTTTCTCTTGCAGGCTGGCAGAATGCCAGCCTGTGAGGGGCTGCTTGGGGCCCCCCATGCCCCATTCCCTGCTCCACACACTGGGGGCTGGGGGGCAGAGGGTCAGGAGTGAGGGGTGATGGGTTGGGACTGGCCATGGATCCTGGTCCAAAAAAAGGTTGAGAACCACTGGTATAGCGCACAGCAACTCGCCTGGTTGCTTTCTTACAATCAGAGAACCATAGAAAATGAGGGCTGAAGGGACCTCAGGAGGGCATCTCATCCTCAAAGCAGGACCATTCCCAGTTAGATCATCCTTTCGTGTCCCGGTATCTTCAAACCCTCCGAGGATGGATCCTCCACCACCTCCCTGGGCAGCCTGTTGTAGTGCTTCACTGCCCTGCCGGAGTCCTCTCCTGCTTCTTCCCATCCCAAGCCCCTGAGCCCACGTCAGGATGCTCAGCCCTGGGGTGTCACCAGCACCCCGTCGGAAGAAACGGGCCTGCATAGGAGATCTCCAGCTCCAGCACCTTTGTCTTGCCCGTTACGGGGGCGTCGCTGCTCAGATCGGACTTTTTAATGAGGATGTCTAGGCGCCCGGGCGTTATGTACTGCGGGGAGGTCTGCCCCGGCTCGCTACCCTGTCTCAGCCACACGACAGGAGGTGGCAGTGCTGCCCAGGCGGGGCCGGCGGGGGCAGCCCGGGCCGGGGGCATCGCGCTGCCGTTCAGCTCCGCGGGGATTTCGCCCTTTTAAATTCAACGCCCGGGGGCAGCCCCACACTTGGCTCGTCTGCAGTCCCTTGAGGCTGCCTGGGAGCGGGACGAGCAGGAGGTGCAAGGAAATCGGGCTGGCAGGGCCGGGGGCAGAGTCCGCTTGCGCGCTGTTTAATGGTGGCCCCTTGGAAAGCCATTGCAGCCTGCTCCTGGCATGGAGCTCTGCCGGCGGAGCATGGGGCACTTCGGGTCACGAGCAAACCGGCTAGAAATAGAGACCGAGAAAAAGTGTGTGTGGGGTGGACCCCAATAATTAGGTCCCCTTTCTCTAGGAATAGGGTTGGGATCGACCCGCAGGTGCCTGTGGCAATGCTCTGCGGTGTCTGGATTGGAGCACCAGAACCCCATGGGGCGGGGGCAGCCTGTGGCACTGCCCAAGGAGGAGCCCTTCCTGAGGGCAGGGGCGGAGAGGCTGAAGCGAGGCTCCCCCTTTGGGCAAGTGTGTGTGTGTGTGTGAGAGAGAGAGAGAGAGAGAAAGAAAAAGCACCTGACATGTATTATTGTTCCTAATAAATACAAAACGACGCCAGTGTCATGAGGGATTACGCTTGATTTTGAACGCTGGGAGTTGGTAGCGCCTGCACTGAATCTCCGTGCCTAGGCCAGATTGAGGAGTCATATACATCTCAAAGGGTTACCCAGAGTCAGTCGCACCTTCTGTGGTCCTGGCTATGCACAGGCATCCACATGCTTCCCATGAGGGTGGGACCAGGTAGATGGTCTTCCCTGATTAAAGCATCTTTTTTTTTTTCTTGGTTCAGCGTTTTAGGCAGCGAGTGTCAGTAACAAGCGGAGGGGTGGAGGCGAGCTGAGAGTCTTGTCTGAAACCTTCCTTCCCCACAGCTTTCCGCCGGTCCCTCCCAGGCTTCTCTGCAGCTTTCCCTTTAGCCTCTTTCTCGCCCTCAGACTTCCTAAATGTACAGATGGTCTTTGGGAACTTATTTCAGCCCTCAGTGCCCATCTTCTAAAGAGATAAGCCTTCATTACTATGACAAAGAAGAATGGTCTATGGCCATTTCCCTTTGGGCGCAGGGCAACGAGAGGGTCCAAGCACAGCAAACCAGCTCAGAACCCCTGGGCAGAGGCTGACATGTGACACTGGCTTCACCCTTTGCCCCTTGCCCTCCTCTGTGCCTTCATCACCGAGCCATTCAGGTCTGTGCCCACACCCCGTCTCTTGGCATGAAACCCGTGTTCTCAGTCCTTTCCTGCTCTCCGTGCCGGGTCTGATTTCCAGCAACAAAAAGGAGAATGTTGCTTCAGCTGTCTCTCCCCCATCCCTCCTCCCCTAAGCCCCCCAATACACACACACGCTGGGTGCCCCATAAGTTGGAGACTGGGCTTCGTTGGGGCTCACCTGCACTGGGAAGACAGTACCTTTTGAGAACTTTATGGGACCAAAAAAAATCTCCTGAGGTCCAACAAGCTCAAGTGCAAGGTCCTGCACTTAGGACTGAACAATCCCATGCACCAGTACAGGCTGGGGACCGACCCACTGGCTAATCAGCAGAAAAGGACCTGCGGGTTACAGTGAGCCAACAGCGTGAAAAAGGCTAACAGCGTCCTGGGCTGCTTTAGTAGGAGCAGATGGAGGGAGATGATTCTTTCCCTCTTTTGGGAACTAGTGAGGTCACATCTGGAGTCCTGTGTCCAGTTTTGGGGCCCCCACTACAGTAAGGATGTGGACAAATTGAAGAGAGTCCAACAGAGGGCACTGGAAATGGTTAGGGGGCTGTGGCACAAGACTTCTGAGGAGAGGCTGAGAGAACTGGGCTTATTTTATCTGGAGAACAGAAGACTGGGGCGGGCGGGGGCAGTTAATAGCAGCCTTCAACTACTTGAAGGGAGGTTCCAAAGAGGGTGGGGCTAGACTGTTCTCAGTGGTGGCAGAAAACAGAACAAGAAGCAGTGATCTCAAGATGCAACAAGAAAAGTTTAGGTTAGATATTAGGAAAAACTTTCTCCCTGGGAGGGTTTTAAAACATTGGAACAGGTTACCCAAAGAGGTTGTGGAATCTCCATCCTTGGAGGTTTTTAAGACACAGGAAGACAGGGTCTTAGCTGGGATGATCTAACTGGGGATGGTCCAGCTTTGAGCAGGGGGTTGGACTAGATGACCTCTTGAGGTCCCTTCCAACTTTAATGTTTTGTGATTCTATTATAACCCGTTGGTCCTTCACATTACCATTTGACTTCAGGTGCTTAACAGAGAAGACAGAGTTAAAACAGCCCCGTGGGACCTGGGCTGGGGAAAGGATGATCCGTAAGGGCACAACCATAAAAGGATAGGAGATTCAGTGTCGCAGCTCTTCAGCTCTTCTCTTTAAGCAAAAGGAGATGTAAGGGGAAGCACCAAAAAAGGAATGATACCTGGGCTGTAATGTACTGGTCATAACCCCCTCCCCCTCCTCCCACACACACATTCCTTTTTTTCCAGGAAAATGTCAAGAGTTTTCCAACCCAGCTCCTCCAGAGGCGAGCTCCCAATTTCTCATTTTGATTCCTGCTTCTTTCCAGCGGACGGAGCTGGCCCATTGCTTGGATGTGTTTGGATTAGGAAAGGCGAGATTGTCTATGTCGCTTGGTGCAAGGGGGTGTACAGGGCTGGACCACAAATAAACGGGCTTAATCTGAGAGGGACGAGAAAAATCGTTGTTAATTGCAACTGAGTTTGGGGTGGACTCGGGATGTTCGCGTTAGATCTTTTTTTTTTTCCCCGAGCTGCTGTTTAGATCCGAGTCATTTCTTTTACAGCAGCCCGTTCCGTGTTTCTTTTCTAATCATGAAAACTGGCCTGTGGAGGGAAGGGCTAGAGAGTACACCCCAATAAATAGTTTTCACCCGGTTTCAACAAGTAACCCAAGCCTCAGATGCTCCAGGGATGGGGCTGGGGAGGAGAAGGAGGCGGGGGGAAATCAACTGCACAGGTGGGAATGTATTCCTGCACCGTGCACCCGGCTGGGATGGAGAAAAGCTGTCGGGTTTGTGGAGAGAGGATCTTACGCAGTGCTGGGGCTGGGGAAGGGAAGGGAAGGGAAGGGACTTGAAACAGGTAATGGAGGGGCTGGGGCTAGATCTATCTCTGGGAACAATCAGGCTTGGGAAAAGGGGTGTGTGTGTGTGTGTGTGTGTGTGTGTGTGTGTGTGTGTGTGTGTGGCGAGAGAAAGTAACTGTAAAGGAAGAGTTACTATTAGGGTAGAGAGAAGCTGTTTCTTAGATCTGGGGAGAAATGGATCTGTGATGGGTGAGATCCTCCTGACACCGCTCACTGCAGCAGAAGTGTAGCTGACTGCAGTGGGGCAGGATTTCACCCAGAATCTTCTCCGCAGTGGGGAGAAGAGGGGTTTGGACTCAGCTCCTACGTTTTCTTGGAGAAGAGGCTTGGCCTCAGGATACTGCTGCTGGGCGGAAGAGGGAGCTCCATACTTCTCTCCGCGTCCAGGTCTTGGGAAGAAGGTGGGATGTGAGGTCCAGCTATGTAACCCTGTACTGGCGCGAGCAACACAGGTCCCCAGCTCGCGGGGTCTGCGGGATCGAGTCCTTGCTTTGTAATCCCGAGAGAGGAAGATCTGCCTGGCAGGGGTCAGGCTGAGCTGGGAAAAACGGGCTGGAAACGGGTCCTTCCAGCGGCGCGTTCTGCAGCTTAGAAGTGAGATCCTGGCCCAAGGGATAACCCTGGGCTATGCACACGCTGTGTGCCCTTTGCACAGGTGTAAAAGGTGTGCAAGCTGCTGAACACACGTAGTGGGAGCGCAGGTCCCACTCAAGTCGGGGCCTTTCCACGGGAGACTTTCCAGTCCGGGACACGCACAGATTTGGTAAAGCGAATCTGTAATCTTAGCCACAGGCAAGTGTATGTGTGTATATGTGCGTGTGTGTCTGAGGTGGTGGGGATGTTCTTGGCTATTGTTTTAACCCTGCTATGCCCCTCCCCAAAACTAGCGTGGGATGGATTCCTGTTCCCCGGGTTAGACAGCAGGAGACTGACCAGCCGCTGCACGCAGATCCAGAGGGCTACTTGCTTTCAGCTGCGGATCAGCTTCTTGGAATCGCTTGGGATGGGGAGGAGAAGGAGATCTCAAGGAAACAGACGTGTCCGGCGGGAAAACTTCGGATGGGGGAGCACAAAGCAGAGCACTTGAGGGGAGGGGGCACGAGGCCGAAGTGCAGCAACAATAGTACACAAAGGAGAAAAACCAAGGAGGGAAGGGAAGAGAGGGAAGGGGGGCTTTATCATTAACTAACCATGGAGGAAAGAAAGGGGAAAAGGCATCTCTAAATCCCTCCTTTTTATTTATCGCTGGGTTAAAATCTCAATCTGATCAGCATGCCTCCTGCTCAGAAAGAGCCGGCAGCAGCCAGGCAGGACTCGCCTGCAGTCCCGACTTCTCTGTCAGTTTCTCCGAGCCGATCTCTTCCCAGCCCCAGGGGAAGGGCGCTCTGGCAGCCGCCCCGCGGAGGCCCGGCGGGGTGGGCTCGGCTCTGGCTGCACCCCGTACATGGGTGTCCCGTGGAGGTTGGCGCGGCATCCAAGGCCCTAACATCACAAGTGCATGACGTCGCACTACCTCTTTAGTCCAAACTGGCAAAGCTCCCAGGGCTACCGATGTGTCAGGTATCCAGGTTGTAGCCGAATTGGTCGTACATAGACAGATCTCTGGATGAGGACTTCACTAGGAGTGGCACCTGGCTGTTTATTTACACTGTGGATAGTTGTGTGGGGGGTGGGGGAGGGCTGGATGTATGGAAGTGTGAAGACCTCTGTGACTATCACGTTCGTGTGTATTTATCATATTCACCTTGATTTCATCAGTTCGATACTTCGATTAATCCATTTGCTGAATTAGCCCGGTCTTCCGACCAGAGATTGTTTTTCTACAGATACAAAAAAAAAAAAAAATAAAAAAAATCCTGAGCTCACAGGGTTTTAAAGCTACTCGGTTTCATTGCAAATCGCCTCAGAGCGTTGTCTGTGGGCTGTATTTAAGGCGATTTCATATTCTTTTTTTTCAGGATCTATGAAAAGCGCCTGTTTAAATAAGAGCACGGTGGCCTGCCGTGCCTGTATGTGCCAGGGTCAGTGTCAGCAGCCTCTCTGAAACGGCATGGCACACCCGCGGGAGCAAACGTCCGCTTAAACCCCTATAGATGTTGTGCCTTCAGATAAAGGATTGTCTCCCCTGGCTCCTCACGGCTGACGTTCCAGGGACACAAATGCGACAGTCCTCCCCGCGTGCCACGAAACAATTCAACTCTCCTCACATTCCCCTTATAGACCCAGTTATATAAATTATCTGTCTCCAGCCATTTGTGCAGATGCTAATTGCATCGCTGCCTGCCGAAAAAAGAAAGCTGACATCGAAGGGTCAGCTAAATGGCAGGCATGCTTGTCTAAACGTTTTGTCCTTTGAACATGAAACCCAACGCATCAGCACAATGTTTCAAAATGCGAATCAGATGCTTCTTTCAGGAGCTGAATCCTCGCGCCCCGGTGAAACGCTGCTGCTCCTAGCACGGGTAAAGACGCTGCCTTCAGAAACCAAAGGAGAGCAGTGCACCTCGCATGCCTCTTTTTTTTCCCTGACGATTCCTAAGAGACCATCCATCCATTTCTCCTCCAGCTCAAAATAACATCGGCCTGTTTCAATCCAGAACGCAGTCCAACCCCAAAAAAGGACTGATTAACATCCAAGTGCTTTGAAGAAAATAAAGTCATTTATTGTCAAAGCATCCAACATACCCAGATAAACTATAAAGTTTAATAAATCTTTTCAAGGGGGGAGAAAAAAGAAAAGAAATGAAAGAAACACATAACTATTCAGACTTCATTTCACTGGCACAAGATTACACTTTGTATGAAAAGGAAATACATATTTACAGAATCGATGACATTCTGCACTGAAGTCCATAATCATTTCATGATACATGCACTTCCCTCTTGGAAACTCAAATGGATTCAAGTCCTCTTTTTTTTTCTTTTTGTTTTGTTTTTGTTTTTTTTTTTTTTTGGGAAAGAACACAAACTGTCATCAATTAATGCAGAAAGCATTGCATCCTCCTTCAGTTTTTTTTTTACTTTATATCTAAAATAAAAATTTACCCTTACATATAATTATTATTACATCTAAACCATAAGTGCTTAATAATTTAAGTAGAAACGTATGACAAATGCATCAATATGCTGCAATATATGACATTTTTTAAAATGTATTTTTTTAATCATTTACTTTTTTCTCTTTTTATTTTCCTTTTATTTATTTATTTTTTTTTTTGGAAAGTGAAAATGCGTGCATCGAAACAAAAAAGAAAAGAAAAGGAGGGGAGGGGGAGAATAAATCCTGCCCCTCTCAGTCTGGTGTCTGGCCAGGGAAATGTATGCAAGGGACTGAACTTTCGAAAGTGAGGAGAGGTTTTTCTATTTCTCTCTCTCTCTCTCTCTTTTTTTTTTTTTTTGGGGGGGGTCTAAGTGCAGCCCTTGGGTGTAAAGTGTCCTAGTTCCACCTGAGACCAAGTGATGCCGGAGAGAGGGGGGAGAGCGGGAGATCCGCACCCAGGCGTCCCACATCGGCCGCACCCAAGCAGCAGCAGCAGTGAGGCATCGCCAAAAAATCAGCTTGAGGAGACTGAGGCTCCTGGCGGAGGGGAAAACAAAACTC